TCCTAGCAAACCTAACAGTATAAAGCAACACAAAAGTAATAAAAATACTCTCTTGCAACGATTTTTTCAACTAGACAGTGAAGTGCTTCGTATTAAATGCAAACGATCCTTGTGTAATGGTAAATAATTGTTAACCAACTATGTTCGACCCTAAGTGCACATAAACCCATTTTTCTGCGAATGCATTTAATGATAATATTAAGTTTTAGTTTTAGCATTATTATTTTTATTTTTTTTGTATCCACATTTATTGTTATTAGTATTTTTAAGATATGTAGTTTATTAATCATTTTTATTGTTAATTAAATAAATAAAAAAAAAAGGGACTTTGTAAATAAATATTTGCAATTGTGCCCTTATTTTTTTTGCTTAATGAGGGAGGAGTTATGTTATATGTCATTTCACACCTTTCTTAAAAGCATTCTCTAGTTAGGCCCTTTACTTTAGGATATTAGTTTTAAGTATCTTTAAGTATTCATAGATGCATGAGAATTTTATGTATTTTTTAGTTTTCAAGACCATTCTAAAAATTGTGAGCAACGAACGTAGTCGTTCACTGAATTTTTTTGTTTCACCTAATATATAAATACTTAAGTAAAGTATATAGTTTTTTTGCTAAATTTATCAACGAATAACTTAATTGCGGTCACACACCAAAGTTGAACAGGGCAATAAAGCTGTCAACATAACAATTCAAGTAAAACAAACCGAGACCAAATAAATTTGTCAATTAAGTCATAAACAACATAAACTAAGAAAACATAAACAAAGTAAAAAAAAAGCACACTAATCAAACTCCATTGAATTTGTAAACACACTTGACTTTATAGTAAAAGTAAAAAGAATACCCCCTACTGGGAACGGCCTTATCGCAGCGACTGCACATCAGCTGTTCAACACGGTGATAGGTTCGCTACGCGAAACTGAAACAACAGCAGACACTACACTGAGAGAAATAATGTTGTAGAATCATTCAAAACGATAATAATTCCAAGTGATTCAAATATGTTTTGGCGTCATTGGTGTTTCTCATTAAATTAAAAGGTGTATAACAATTGTATAATACATATATTTTTAAAATAACGTTGAGAAAGGCAATGAAATAAATAAATTTCTTTTTTGTATATATATTTTAAAGAGAGTACACTTTAAAAGTGTTTAAAACATTGTAAAACTGTTGGTAAATGAATAAAACTACAATTTTTCTATTTGAATCAAATTTACCCGATTATTTGAATTAATATCGTTTCATGTGCTTTTCATGACATGATATTTCTCTGAGTGTAGACAAATAGACAAATATTAAACAACCACTTACGTAATAACCTAGGAACGTACATACCCTACATCGAGGACGCAATAAATGAACTAAGCAGTCGTATGAACACATAAGTGACAAAACAGGACAAATTAATGCGTACCTAAACGACCACGGTAATTACGGCTTCTGGGCCGGACTGGAAACAATACTAGCCGCCTCAGACGTAGACAACGCAATAACATACTACAAGCCACCCTTAAACTAGATCTAAAAGACAAAAAAGTCGGGAGACCATGCTTCACATTTCATGACACGTTAGCACAAATCATACACTTCTCACAAATCAACAAGAACAGTTGGGAGCAACTAAGCAACAATAAAAACAAAATAAAAAAAAACAAACGACACACTTTACCAAGTTCAGGAACTATCCGACACGGATATGACAATAATGAACAAGACGAAGACCTCGACTAGGAGACTACACCCTGCAGCGTAATAACAACCCCCCAACTCCAAATAGTAATCCCAAATGTTTGGAGTAATATTAATCGACTGGTCTAGGGGGATTCCGCGTCGTACTTAGTTTTAAGTCGGCGTAACTGTCCCCCAAAAACCAACACCCTCCCGTCCCTTCTCCATACCCCACTGAGCGTATAGCATAGGCCCGGCGAACCCGGGAACGGCTATTATAACTATTCGCCTCTCGCTCTCGAGCCCCAAATAGGGGACATTACGGAACGCAATGGACATTCGCACCCAGCAAACACGGGTGAAGCCGTGCAGTTGCTGGGGAAGAACAAAAATCGGCGTAAGTAAACATAGGCCTGTGCGGGGTTCGAGAGTCAAGAGGAAATGGGGCTGGTTATACGTCTCTTATACTCATACTCATATAATAATAAACATTATAACCGCCCGCCCAACAACGGGAATACTAAACTCATTATTTCATTAGTGATTGGCCGATTTTATTATACACGGTGGTTTGGACCAATCAAAAAAGGTGACTATAATGTTATTTAAAATTGGTAGAAAGTAAGGTTAACTATCTGAGAGATGTCATATTTTATTTAGTTATTTTAAAAAATTAATTAAAACCGCGATGAGCATTATTTCTCATAAAGGAAGCGTTCAAGTATCACGTACCGCGCTAAGGGGGAAAAGGGATCAAAACAACAGAAAAACGCCTTACGTAATACTTGAACACTTTCTAATATAATAATATTCCAATTACTGTCATTATTAAAAAAAGTCATAAATGACTGTCAAAATCATAAGTGACCGAGTTAATTTTAAATTTCGAGGGCAAATTACTAGGGAATTTGGCTTGAATAAAAAAAAAGATTAGGCGTTCTGTAGAGTCATAAATAGATTTTTAACAAATCTGAAGTGCAATTTTCGGTTGTTTGGAAATATTTTTACTTGATGAAAACCTTTGAAATAAAATATTATTCTCAATGATGAAAACACATGTTCCTGTAGAATAGTTTATAAGTTAGTAATTTTTGTATGCGAAGTGTGTATTCTTTTTTTCGAGCTTTTTTATTTATCCTAATTTAATGTTTTGTAATATTAAAGTTAATTTTCGAGAATTCAGGTTTAATAATTTTTTTATAAATTTGCATACATTTTTTACACAAATTTTTCGCAAAACGCTTTACCAACGGTTTGTCATAATGTGTATTTTTTAACAAGGTACACTTAAAAAACCCATATCCAATTGGAAGAACAATCAGTAGAACTCCGCTTTATTGAAAATATTCATTTTAGGAAATTAATAGAACACAAATTTAACCAAAAACAAAATCTATTTAGCAGTAGTTATTTTTCAAAAATAAATAATAACAATAGTTAAAACAAATGTAAAATCAAAAATTCTTGATATAAACTTTTGGATCTAGCTAAAACAGGGCAAGCGTTTTAAAGTTTTTCCCAGGGCATTGGAAAAATTATCTTTTTTGGAAAAAAAATTTTTTTCGTAAAATTTCAAAAACACATTACAATATAAAGAGCATTTTATTGCTTTATTTTTATCGAAAAGAAATTTTGTCTGCACCTTGCAGGAAAAAACGAGCCTTTAAAACACTAACATTTTAAAAGGATAATTTGTAAAATTTGCAGAAAAAATTACTTTTGCCTTTTTTTTGTATTATCCGTAAGTACTACAAATATTACGAAATAAAAAATGGAAAAGTCGATCATTTTTGAAAATTTTCCAATTTTTTCGATTTTTTCTAAAAAGTTTATTGATTTTAAGTAACTAAAAATTTAAAGAAATTATTATTTAAAGTAATTATTTTAACAGCTGTCAAACACGTTTTTAGGTTATTTTGTTTTGTATTTGAAAATAATAAAAAATAAAAGGGTCGTTTAAAAAATATTGTGTTTCACATGTGAGAATAGTTATTTGTTTTACAAGTGTTGAAAAGCGACTATTTTATGCAAGTGTTCAAGTTGCTCACGAGGCCTTCAGGCCGAGTGTGTATTAACACGAGCTTGAAGAAAGCTTTTCTCACAAGTGAAAAACTATGTTTTTTCTACGACCCTTTTATTTTTTATTATATTCAAATACAAAACAAAATATCCTAAAAACGTGTTTGACAGCTGTTAAAATTCTTTCATCTTATTCTTTTAATTTTTAAGGTATAAGTTACTTAAAATCAATAAACTTACCTTGAAGGTAAACCTTCTCAATTTAAATAAAGGCACTAAAACTAGAATTTATTATAAATACAAACACAATTAATTGTACGAATGTCAAACGATGCTGTCAATTTCTTTTCACACAGATCTGTCACTTTTCACACAGAAATGTCACTTTACATTCGTGTTTTGCCTTGCCAATGAAAAGATTCATTTTCTAAGCACCGATGCCAATACGAAATGTGACTTTTACATAGTGGTCGTAGAAAAAAGCTTTTTCAAGCTCGTGTTAATGCACACTCGGCCTAACGGCCTCGTGAGCAACTTAAACACTTGCATGAAAAAGTCCCTTTTCAACACTTGTAAAACAAATAACTATTATTTATATGGGTTATAATAAAGTTATGTCTATTGCGTCTTATTTTAAAAGTTCAAAAAAAGTTTCAAAAGTAAAAAAACAAGCTGCAAACTCTGTTTTTAAAGAAAAAATATTATTCTGTGGAAGAGTTTTTTATGATAATTTTTAATATATTTTTCTTTTTAGTGTTCCTAGTGTTTTTGTAATTTTACTTGACTGGTCCAATATGTTTTATACAGTGCTTGCAAATCCAAGTCCGACCGGGTTGAAAAGGACGGTTGTTCAATACCCGCGTGAAAAGAACAAGGATAGAATGCCAAACAGAATTTGATTGGTCAGAGCCGGCAGGCCTGCGTATTGTAAGCACCTTCTGTTTGGCGTTCTATCCTTGTTATTTTCACGCGTCCTTCCCAACCCGGTCGGACTTGGATTTGCAAGCACTGTATATGCAGTAAACTGTGTGATCAATAAATATTATTATTTTACCACTACTAAACCTTTAAATCGAAAAATTTAAAATTTACCGCATAACCCAACCCTACCAGTAAAAAAGTACATTTGTATAAACAAGTAGATAATTGTTGACTAGATATAAAAATATAATACATAAATAAAATTATTTACAATATTAATACTGGCCATTAGGCAGTATGTACAAAAATAATTTAATGATATGCAAAGAAGCAAAAATTAAAGTTCAATATACAGTATTTTACATATAAAAGTCTATTTTAAGTACCTATTTAAGTTTTAAATGACATGGAAGGTTACTTGAAATATTTACTTACTTAAATTATTATTAAGTATGAATTATGTACAAATTTAATGAACATTTGTGATGCGTGAAAAAGTTTAGTCTTAAACGAGATCTACATCAAATAAAAAAAATGTTATCACATGGCAAACCGAGCTAACCTTAAAATCCAACATAGCATTCCCAAATCTTTCCACAAATTCATAGGCTACGCGAATTTCAATATTGTTAGCCATCTAGTGGTGGACCTAGATAAACCATTGACACTTCCGTGTTACCGTATACAGCTGACACTGTAGGGTATAGTTTTTTATCTGGCAATCCTGAAACAAAAATAGCTATTTATTATTTTAAATATACTTATTATATTATTTTAAATATAATGTATGTATAATTAAATAAATATCAAAGTATAGTTGAAGTATTGTATATTATGTGATTGTATATATGGATATATATATATATATATATATATATATATATAGAGGTGTCCCTACATAAACCATCTTCATATATTTTTTTGGGAAGAACAAAGAATTATTTATTAGTATTATTATTATTAAAACTCTATGGGACATCTTTAAATGTACATACTACTTTAAGAGATTTTTAAGATCTACTTTATATTTTAAAGAATAAGGTGGATTTTATGTTAAAAATAAATATCCATATTAGGAAATTCTTATTTATTTTTGGACAAAAGTTTTAATACATACCTCTAAAAGCAACTCCCAAAAACTCATAATTTTTTTCAAAAGATAACGTATTATCATCACAATCCAGTATAACTCTTATTCTTTCACCAACCTAAAAAACAATTGGGTAAATTAAAAAAACTATTCTAATTAAGTACTATCAAAGTCCCACCACGTAAATTGGATACAAATAATTAATGTTAATTTTTTGTCAGTGTCAAGCTAATTTCGTCTTTTTGTCTAAAAATAATACAATATTATATATTATGTACTTTTTGTGTTATAAATTATACCTACATAAATTGGATTATTTTTATAAAATAGGACAAAATTAGCTTGACACTGACAGAAAATTAAGCTTAATTATTTTTAAGTCAGGTGGTGGGACTTTGATATGTGGAGAATAGCACAATCCACAAACAAGGTCTGTTCTATATCTTACTAAAAATAGAAAAAAAATCACTGCAACACTTCAGAGTTTAACGACGGGCATTTTTGTTGTTACAATTCTTGTTCGTTGGGTTTGTGCTCTGTTTATACAGATTAATCGTTTTAAACGTTGTGTTTCTTACAGAGGCACTTATAAGCCTTAAAATAGAAATTTAAAAAATCTAAAAACCATTCACATCTTTTATTTATATTATATGGCTATTTCACCCCATTGCACTAAAATAAATAATTTTAAAGGGTGTTTTTAGAGCAAACTTATTGTTCTTTTGATAGTCAAGGATACATTTTTTAAGTAGGATATTTTGATTAATTAAGATTAAAAGTGACCTTAAACAAAAACATTATTTTAGTACACAATTTTGTTCAATACAGGGTGTCCAAAAAAAGCAGGGAGTGTTATTTTTTGTACAAGTTTTTGAGTAATAAATATTTAATAAGCCGATTTAAGAAACATGTAAAAATGGATAATGATACAAATTTTACTACGCATCTACAGCGACTTGATAGATGTATTTTCTGACAGTTCTTGTCAGAAAACCCAAACTTAAAATCATCAAAAGTTTGTTTAATTAAAAAAATGTTTTTAATCCTTATATACCTATATTTGGGGGATGCCACGTAATTTCAAAATGAAAAAACCATTGCCATTTTGAAATTCATCGCCAAATGGAACCCATGAAAAAATTGCCGACAAATTTCAAAATGGCAAGTTTTTCGAGTGTCGAATTCACTTCAATTTTTAAACCCTGAAATCCGAAAACTATTTGTGATACTAAAAATAATCCCCCCTGCATTATGACTATTTTTCGGACACCCTATAAAAAGGATAAAATTTAGTTCAAGTTTCGCCATGACATGTTTAAGCCATTTTTTCACACTTTAGTATACCGCTAAAAAACAAAAAACCGGTCAATTTAATATATTTTGGACTAAACTATTTTTTTTAGTGCAACGGGTCAAATAATGTTAATAAAAGATTATAATGGTATTTAGATTTTCGAAAATAACAGGCTTAAACTGTGAACCATTTCTTGATAAAAAATGATTAAACGACCTCTAAATATTAAAAAAAAAATTATAAAATGTATAGTGTCTTTTCTAGTAAAAACACACATAACTCCACTTTGACGTTTAAAACAAATACATGAGTAAAAGTGGGACAACTCCTCAACCCACATAATATGATTATAAGCATGTTAGGTTTAATTAGTAACCAATTATTAGTTAGTATATTTAGTAAATAATATTTTCTTAAAATGATTTGCGTCCTATTTTTTATTATATAAACATATGCCTTCTTTTCAGTGTGTTGATTTTTTTAAATTTCTTTTTATAAACTTTTCAGATATTTAAATAGAATTGGGAAAATGAGTTAATATTTCAAAATTGTATTGGTTTTAATAAATATTAAACATCTTAAATTTTGATCAGATCCTCGCTATTTGGTAAATTTTTTATGTACTACCTAATAGATAAAATAAGTGGAATAATTTAAAAGATAAAGTTACACTTGTTCAATATTCAAGGTACCTACATATTTCAGTGTATTACTCATATCATATCAAGCTACAAAATAAAAATAATAAGAAAGATTGATAAGAAACCTGCAGTAAATAATTATAATTTATTTATTTATTTTAAATAATATACAGTCTATTTTTGAATGTTTTACATTGCGTCATCAATTTGTGAATCAAGATGCCGAACATAGGTTGAAATAAAGGTTTGACATTTTAAATTCATGACACAATGATGACACAAAAATAGAGTATATAAATAATATGTATGTATAATACATGTAATAATATACATAATGTTTAAAAATTATTTAAAATATTGAAAATATTAAAACCCTGTAACTTGTAAACAAAAACCAGTATAGCCTGCAGTTTCTTTCTGGTTGCTACGCGGGCATCTCGGGCAGGTTTAAATACTATGCTGTTAAACGGGTCATAATCTTATTTTCATTATGGTATTTTTGTTGCAAAAGATTATTTGTAACGTTCCACTTTTTTCCTCATATTGACCGCCCAATCTTTCAATATTAATGCCAGTTCTTCGCTTCTATTCTCGTTTAACTGATATTTGCGTTCAATATCCCCCACGTATATTTATGACTATTTGTACTATTTTTGGGAATATTTTCTTTAATAAGCGCGTTTATGCTTTAAAATTCGAATTGCTCACGGTCTTATATACAGGTCTTGCAACTTCGCCCAATTTCAATAGGAAAAGTGACCTCTCTAATGAGACACCCACCAGATGGCGCATCGAGTTGTGGGTGAACCATAGATGTTTAAAGGTCGTTTTTACCTTCTTTATCTTTGGGTTTTACAATCGTTAGATAAGCTCTCTGGTGGATAATATTCTTAGATAGAAGGTTTCTATGAAAAGTTATCCGCTAAATAAGCTAACTTAATCTAACGATTGTAAAACCGGCTATAAGTCCTTAAAGTCTATGGGATAAAAGGTCAAATGAACTACCTACTTATGTTCTGTGTTAAGAAACATAACCTACATTTTTATAAACAAGCTTGTGTATTTTGTTACAGGGAGTTTTTACTTATTAATTAAATTAAAATAGATTAAAATAGCTGACAGTTTGGCTAGTTTATAAACTACCCAGCTACTTTATAAACTATCCATGTTTACACATTAGCCGTAACATATATAGGTATGATATACGTATGTATTTTATACATTAACATGTTTTACTTACATGTTTGGTCTGGGCATGTGACGGCCGAGGACTTTGTGCATAGAGTATAGACTTTGTTGTCCTATTTTGTTAACGTAAATTATCCGAAACGAACTCACAAATATTAAATTTTTGAAAATGTAAACAAAACATAGAAACAGAATTTAAAAAGTTAGGTTATGGTTATGCAGTAGTTCCACATTTAACTAAGTAGTTCATTTAATTTACTTCATCCTTCGATCTTAGCGCCACCTAGCGGCTTGGCACGTTAAGGAAGCCACCTCGAAGCTTAAAGTTGCAAGACCTGTATATAAGACCGTGGAATTGCCAAAACGTGACATATTGAAATTTATTTTATGAAGTTGACAGTCTTGGTGTCATAGTGATTGAAAACTTCCCTGAGTGTTGTTATCAGTTAAATGTTGAAATGATTGGGTGATTTGTGTCACATGACGAAAAATAACATAATTTAAATGGCTGTTTGAACTGTAAAAAAATTTTCAGAAAAATTGACTTGTAGATTTTTCATTTTATTTAAATGGTAATACAAAAAAATGCTAGTCAATTTTTCTGAAAATTTCTAAATTTTTACGGATAAAATCCGTACACTGAAAATTGAAAAAAAGTTAATTTCTGACTGATTGTAATCATAATAATTAATAATTATTATTCCAATAATTTTAATCCAGTAAGAATATTCTACCGGGCCGAAAAAAAAAATATTCGGTGCTGTATTAACATAACTATCGTTTTATTTGAAACATCGATTTATAAAATTATAACTTTATAATGTTACTTTATAAATCATTCAATATTCTGTAAATTGAACACTTATAAGTCTATACCATATCAGGGGTCTAATAATATTATCAATCAAAGTGCTCAAACTTCAATATTTTTTACTATCAAATTGCTTCACATTAAATTTTATCAGTTGAGTAAAAATATCATTACCCATATTACTATATAGGTAGGTACCTACATATTTCCAGGTAAATACTTTAATAGCGTATTTTTTAATTTTGTTTGATATTAGACCCCTGGTATACAGGGTGGCTTTGTATGTGAAAATAAAAAAATCTTCAGTTTCTCCAAACTAGAAACTTCAAGCTTCAAATTGCTTTTTTTACGGCTCCAATACGACCATTTTTAACGAAGATACAGCTATCCGAAAAATCGCTAAAAATTTGGAATGTTTTTTTATCATTTAATTTTTTCCATTAGCGTAGAAGTTTTACATTGTTATTGGTTTTTTATGTGGAAACTACCAAATAATAAGAAATCAGATTTTTTAGTCTCAGTCAAAATTAAACATTAAAAATATAATATATTCTACATTTCACTTTATTATCAATATGGGTACTTAAAATTTCATTTTAAAAAAATAATCCATTTTTAAAGATTGATGTTATTTATTGACAGAATTGGCTTTATTGTAGCGGATTTGAATAAAAACGAAAAAAAAACTGTTTTTTTCATGTTTTTTTTCACATCTGAAAAAAAAAACGTTTTCACATCTGAAAAAAACAATTTTATACATCTTGATACGTGGTGAGCCCTCAAAACGACCCTATACTAAATTTTATCAAAAATTTTTAAGTTGGAACTACACTGCGCGGCAAAATTAAGGCATAATAAGTAAAAAATTTCTAACTCTAAAACGCCTTTACCAATCTTTATGAAATTTTGTATAAGAATACTTCAACTTATATCTCAGTTTACGTGTTCGAGGGTTTTTCGAGAAAATATTTTTAAAGCCTTTTATTTAATATAAAAAAAAAACGTTCGAAAAAAAACTTTTATATGGAATTTGTTTTAAGTAAATAAAAAATATGCTCTTAATGACCGTATTTTTGTTAGTATACCCTAAAAATTTTGTACAAATCAAACGAACAGTAACGAAGATACAGAGCTTCAAAGTCGCTAAAAATGACCACTTTCATAATAATCAAAAAGGGGTAATTTTTACCTTCTTTGAAGCGCTGTATCTTCGTTACTGTTCGTTTGATTTGTACAAAATTTTCAGGGTATACTAACAAAAATACGGTCTTTAACAGCATATTTTTTATTTACTTAAAAAAAAATCCCTATAAAAGTTTTTTTTTTCGAACGTTTTTTTTAATATTAAATAAAAGGGCTTTAAAAATATTTTCTCGAAAAACCCTCGAACACGTACACTGAGATATAAGTTGAAGTATTCTTATACTTATAAATTTAATTAAAGATTGGTAAAGGCGTTTTAGATTTAGAAATTTTTTACTTATTATGCCTTAATTTTGCCGCGCAGTGTATATTGTAGCCAAATTAAAAATGCATCTAATTACTATTTACAAAAATTTATTCTGTCAATTTATCCACGAAAAAAATATTGAAAAAAAATTAAACTAATAGTAACATGGTATAAATATTCTTATGCTTACTTTTAAAAAATAAAACAATGAAACAAAAAATAGAGAATTCCAAAAATTCTATATAATTAGATTTTTGTCACCTCTACTAATCCACCATTTATTTCAATACACTTAATGCCTAATTTTTGTATGTACTTTATTAGTTTTTTATTTTCTATTTGTTCTGGAGTAATGGCTGTGCAAGCTTGTATTACCCTAGACTTTAGTTCCTGTGCAGTTTGTGGCCTTGATTTGTAATGTAAACCTTTTGTTTTAATAAACCCCTCAGCATATTTTTACCATGTTACTATTAGTTTAATTATATTTTTTTCATAGATAACTTAACAGAATAAATTTTTGTAAATAGCAATTATTGTGCATTTTTAATTTGGCTACAAAATCGTTCCTAAGTAAAATTTTTTAATAAAATTTAGTATAGGGTTATCTTGATGGGTGGTGAATCCAGTGCCATACATAGATTTTTTTTTTAAATAGCTAATATGAATTCATAAAAATTTACAGGACATACCTAGTTGGCCATGTATTTTATAAAAATAAGTTTTTTTTTGCTCCAAAAATACAGTTTATCAAGATCTACACTACAAACAAATCCAGTTAATCACACAATAAATAAAGATTTTACAGGGGTGAGTCGCAAACAAATGGGTCAAACTGTATATCTATTAGATATATTATTTTGTTTTAATCATGTCATCAAGATAAATTAGCAATATCAAAAATCTGTTTCATAATCCTAGATCTAGCTTCATAATAAGACCATCATCCCCAATTAAAAATATAGTATTATACATACTTGATATTTAGGAGCATTATTTAATAATGGGTAATTTCCTTGAGCATCTCCATTGTGTAGCAAATGATTATCAACTAAATTCCAGCCCCAACTTTGATCATCCGATCCCAACAATGCTACATAACCATGACACTGCAAGGGTGCTTCTTTAGTTGCTATTCCTATTACAGCAACGGTTCCTAAGGGACCTTCCCAGATAACTTCCCATGCATGTCTGCCATGCCGAAAACCAATTTTACCCCTTGAAGCATCTGTACTCTGTGCCACTGGGTTTCGATGCAAAGTAAATCCATTGGGTTTAATGTAAATATTTCTTGAACAATCATTTGGATTCCATGCATGGTGAAACGCTCTTAATTTTGCTTTGTACGTGGGTACAGACGAAAGTAAATCTGATTTTAGAGCTTCTTCAGCCAACTTTCTTATACAGTGTAACCGCCAAACATCATTATTTTCATCGTTTAAAAAGCTATACCATCTTTTACACACTAGCGAACAATTTCTTAAGTCATGGAGGGAAAGGAAGGAAAATATTACTTCCAAAACATTATCCGGCACTAAAGTTGATGGTGCAGCATCCATTTTTATTTGACAATTGGGGTGGCTGTGTTCCGAAATACCAAAAGAACAAGTGAAACAAACAAAATTATAAAAACTTTAAAAATTAATCACAAAACCATGCAGCCTACACAAAACATGTGGTAATAAACAAAACAATTGGTTTTGCAAACGTAAGTAAATTAAGCCTGTTTGGAACATTCACGAAAGTGGAAAATGCGCACCAAAGTGTTCTGTCCTCTGTGTGTTTGTCGTGTGCACTTTGCATCTAATCCCGCCTTAAGGCGCCTTCCACATTTCCAAAATTTACAAAAAAAAAATTGGTTCTAGTAAACAAAAGGTAACAGATTTTTTAAAAAGGTAAAAGGTATAACATTCCCTGAAAGGTAACAGATCTGTTACAATTGTAATAGACTGGCAACACTGTCTGTGGGGTAAGCTATATTGGGTTTGTTCCTACCGAACATTTGAACTGTCATATAGACGTCAGGGACATGCTCGTTTCCAAAATCGCATGCGCTGTACTAAAATAGGGATGTAATTCTTAAATTACGCACGTCCCTGACGTACATCTGACAGTCAAAATGCTCGGTAGGAACCAGGGACCCGGACCGGACCGTTTTTGGACAGAAAACCGGACCGAAACCGGTATATATTTGTGGACCGGAACCGTAACCGAACCCATATTATTTTTAAATGCAAGTCTAGAGACCGAACCGGAACCCTTTAAATTTAAAACGGTTTTTTAGGTTATTTTCGGTTTTTTTCTTAAATTCTTTTTGCAAAAATTTAATTTTTTTTTTTAACCAAATAATTTTTGATTATTTTGGCAACAATGCAAAACAACTATGACTAACATTATGTCAATGACATGTTAGTGAAATTGCCTACAGATGGCAGCATCGAAGTATGTGAAAAATGTCCATACAAGTAATTGAAAGACGCGCCATTTTGTAAGAAATGTACGAAGGCGTAGAAGGGCCATCCAAAATTTAAATCTGTATTTTTTACAAATTTCTGAGTTATAACTCGGAATTTTAAAATTTCGAGCTATAAGTCGGAATTTTACACCAAAATTTCGTGCTATATCTCGGAATTTTAAAATTCCGTGTTATATTTCGGAATTTTAAAATTTCGTGTTATATGTCGGAATTTTAAAATTCCGTGTTATTTCTCGGAATTTTAAAATTCCGTGTTATATCTCGGAATTTTAAAATTTCGTCTTATATCTCGGAATTTTAAAATTCCGTGTTATATCTCGGAATTTTAAAATTCCGTGTTATATTTCGGAATTTTAAAATTCCGTGTTATATCTCGGAATTTTAAAATTCTTGAATTGTCGCCTAATAGACGACTTCGCCATTCACCACTAGTTAGTGTTGCCACTCGTTCTTTTTATTTTATACTAGGTGGTTCCGTCATTTCGTTCTAGATTGTACTAAATGCTATATTGGTGAAATTGGCCACAGATGGCAGTACCAATAATTCATATATTTGGTTTTTTGTTACGAATATTGGTGCACTTTTAATTGAATATATTTTAAAAAACGTATCTTAAAAAATGAACTATTTGACAGACAACTAAAGAACTATTAATTTAATTATCGATATCGTTAATTGTAAATGAGAATAGTCAAATGATTATGAGGCTCCGTCAAAAGTAGTTTCGGTTAGTAAATTTAATTTTAGAAATAATCATATGTAGTTTCGAAAAGGTGATATAAATTTTAGATAGCTATAGTCTGGAGCGCGTTTACATTAATTCCGGCAATCAATCTGAACGCGCTTCTGGTGGCTAAACATGAAAATGGGGTTAAAAGTCAGAAATGACAGATTTCTCATTTTTTGGTTGTTACTGATACCTACCAGGTACGGTCGTGAGCCATTCAAGAGAATATAAAATATCGAAGTTTTCTACATAATGATATTTTCTATGTAGAGAAAGGTAATCATATGCAGATAATTAATTAACTAAGTTAAAATTAATTTAATTACAAAAATCTTGTTTTTTCATATTCTGCAGCTCCAAAGTCAAGAATTCCAAAAACATAAAAGTAACGCAGAATTATAGTCACAAGGCTTCCTTTGTTTTAACCGCCTCTGAACGTGAACGTGAATAAAAATTTGGAGATTTGTATCAAATCGTAAATATTTATCTGTAAAGATATTCAAATTATTGTCAAAAAATATCATCAGGAAATCACCCTGTATCGCAAAAACGGTGAGCATTTGGATGTATGCGTCAACTTTTTAGATTACTTTCGGTCGCCGATAACGTGGTTAAAAAGATAATGTCTATGTAATTTCGGGACACCCTGTATTTACTTAATCTATCACACAACTTAGAGGTTGAGATACAGCGAGGTCATACATTTTACACAGCTGTCAAATGATGTATTTTGACAGAAATAACATAATGCCATCGAAAATACAAATGATGCTTTCAAAAATTCATTTGATGCTTTAGGCAAAGCCGAGGGCATCATGGCGCGCAGTTCAGGACTCTCACACTTTCTGCCCGTGTAGTGTATACTATTTTTCTTACTACCTCGGCCGAAAATACAACCCGGCCGAAAATACGGGAAAAAATTAAATGTGTATTTATGTACCTATCTCCATTTGAAGAGCTTGATAAATAAATAACAGTAGGCCGTGAATTCAGCGGTGCCAATACAGTAAAAATAAAACGTTGTATTTTAATTAACAAATTACTACTTTATAACAAATAAAAGTACCATTAAACACTTAAAACAACATAAAAAGTAAAAAAGTATTAACATAAATTGTTTATTTGTTGTTATAATTGCAAAATTATGGTTTAAAACTGTCATATTTTTGTGTTTCTCATGTTGGCAGTACGAAATTTGAATGTTAAGCACACGACTAAAAAATTTTTACTCCCGCTATTAGAGTGTGCGCGTATAGCTTGACCAATGCAAGAAACGTAAACTTTCTGCCGTGAAATCGGGGACCAAACAACGTATTTTGAGTCGAGGTAGTAAGAAAAATTGATTTGATAGTTCGAGAATACATTTGACGTTATCCAAAATCCATATGATAAGGATAAAATACATCTGATGCTTTCCACAATCCATTTGATTAGGCTAAAATACATTTGACTGATTCGCAAATCTAATTCACTGTTAGAAAATACAAATGATATCTTCTACAATTCATTTGCTAAGACTAAAATACAATTGACGCTTTCAAAAATTTAAATGATAATTTCTCAAATACTGTTTAAAAAGGTGTAGAGCAGTCTGCAACGCTGGCTGTGAGATATAAAAAAGCCCATAAAAGCCTGTGACAGAAATAAAGAAGGTTGCAAAACACCCAATGTAATTGCACATTTTTGATGCTGCTATCTGTGGGCAATTTTACTAATATGTCACTGACATGAATTCAGTCATTTGTTTCCATTGTTGTCAAAATGATTAAAAAATTATTTTGGTTTTAATTCTGTTTAAACCACACATTTGTGGTTTAAACCAATTTTGTTGCGAGAATATATCCAACTATAAAAAGTAGCTCTATTGATTTTGCTAAAGCGTAATAACGTACTAAAAAAATCAATTTTAGTACTAGATCTAATACAAAAGTACTAACAGTGGCAACACTGCCCCTAGTGCGTACAGGATATAACACGAAATTTTAAAAATCCGAGATATAACACGAAATTTTAAAATTCCGAGATATAACAAAGAATTTTAAAATTCCGAGATATAAAACGGAATTTTAAAATTCCGAGATATAACACGGAATTTTAAAATTCCGAGATACAACACGGAATTTTAAAATTCCGAGTTATAACTCAGAAATTTGTAAAAAACAAGATTTAAATTTTGGATGGCCCTTCTACGCCTTCGTAGAAATGAACGACCATCTTTTATATGTGCTTCTTTGGGGTTTTCTAAGCCATTCTCTATGTTCAAACTTGGTTAAAATGGGACGAAAAACAACTAACCCAGCCCATCAAAAAGAAGAACAAAAGCTCTAAGTTTAGTTTTTTTTATTTTTATATAACTTATTTTAATTATAAATTTTCTAGTTTCTCAATCACAAGATCAGAAGAAAAAAATAAAGAAAGCCAGCCGATCGATAATAAAAATAAAGAAGAGAATAAAGACCCTAAAATTAGAGAACCTCATTTAAAAGATAAGAAGAGACAAAGTAACACTTTATTTAATTACTTACCAAAAAAAATAAAAAAAATGAGTAAACTTTTCATTTTATAATTTAAGTACTTATTTACACATAGTAAAAAAATTGGAACCGAAAAAAACCGTATGGACCGAAAAGATTGGTCCGGACCGGACAGAAATATTTTTTTTTGGAACCGTAACTGAACCTGAACCGAAATTTGTCGTTTCTCTCGGAACCGGAACCGGACCGGAACCGTTATTTCATTTGGGTCCGGGTCCCTGGTAGGAACAAGCCCATTATTATTTTTATGATGCACTGGATATAAAGACCAATTAATTTTTAAGAATAAAAATTCTTTTAAATTTTTTTAATAAACTTTAAAATATTTTTTTATTATTCAAAATAAAAGGAAAATTTACTAGTAATAACAATACGCTTGGCAACGTTGTCTGTATGATGGCGGGAAAAAATTTAAACTCCCGTGGCCAACTGTGGTACTAAACGGATCGTTTACCGACCAATCAAAAAGAATACTTCGTACCGCTGCCAAGCAGATTTCTTTTATAATCTGCGATTTCCACTAAATAGTACATCTTTATAATTGCGTTACGATGTTTCAAAGAAATTATTAAATTAAAAGTAAATTGAATAAATATAGTTTAACAAATAATGATTCAAACGCAAGTTTAAAATATTGTTTTTATGCACCGGTTTAATCGTGGCTAGCTTTGAAAAATTATATTCATCGTCGCCATTTTGGTGTTGCACTGTGGTTGGTGTATAAAGAATTTGATTCAAAACTAGTATTTTCAACGTATTTTAAACTTATCAGGTGAAGTGAAAATGTCGCATCAAAACAATTCCACAAATTGGGTTATTCAAGGTTCAAATGGTAAATTAACCTCATATTTTTAAGTTCCTTCAGATGTTTATAACCTTTCAATTGTTTATACCACCGACTGTGGTCCACAGTACCTAATATTTTCAATTTTTTATTTTTAATTTATTCATTTATATCTACTCATACAACTTATGTACATTTTTAAATACAGGCCAACCCCAAATGATAAAACTGGTTCAATCTTCAGGAAAGCCCATAAGTGGAATTATGACATCAACTATGACAGGACAGCCAGTTAAAATTTTTAAGTCTCCCACTTCTAATGCAGAATCATCTCAGGTATACAAACACTGTGTACTTATTATTTACTTCCTATATCTTATTAGAAAATTGGACACTTCAAATCTAGACAAATTTGATACATACCTATTTTAAGTACGTAATCCATAAGGGTGTCCCAAAGTGAGTCACTATTACCATAGTATAGGTGCTTTCCAATTAACTCTTGTTTTTCACACTCATTGTAGCACTTGGGCTGCATTGGGTGATTAAAATGGTCAATAGGAAAGCACCTAAGATTGTAAAGGTTATTTTTTATGTTTTTGAATTACAATGTTCCTAAAATTTTGAATAGTTTTAAAAATTATAATAATTTAAATATTTGATTTTTTTTAAAGAACACTATCTTTGAACCATGTCAAGCTCATCTCTCTTGTTTCCATAATAACAGCTATTAAATTTGGATTTCACAGTGTTGGTCAGTTTTTAAACCTAATTTCTAAACTACAAAACTTTTTTATGTTTTTTATTCTACCCAAGGTTTTAACAGCAAAAAATTATATTTAAAATGGCCTGAGCTTGGCTTTAAATAAGCACTTCTCCGCCTGTTAGATAATGTACTATTTAGATGGTATTGGGATTTTATTATTATAGGTATTATAAATTCAGTTTAGACAAAAATATAAAGGGTATCCCAAAAATGGCACAATAATGCAATTATTATAGGGGTATTTATTGTAATTATAAAAAACTATATAAAGGGTATCCCAAAAATGGCACAATAATGCAATTATTATAGGGGTATTTAATAAATACTATTTATTGTAATTATAAAAAACTTAACAATGCTGTGTGTGATAATAGTTATTTATGTCATTAGACTGAGAACATTTTATTACATTTATTTAACAAGGCATAATTTTATTTAAATACTTAAAATGTACATTTATAATAATAATTATTTAAAGTAGAAGGAGAGGTTAGCTAGACAGTAGTCAAATTGTTTGTTAGGTTTAAAAGGGTTTTTTACAACCTAGGCAATAATCACTTTAGTAGTATTTAAATTATAGAATGCTTGAAGATAAATATATTACACAAAATGAAAACTTTAAATCCTCATTGTTGAGTAACAAATATTAAAATTCTCATACATCAAAAATTACTTGTCAGAAAAATGTTATTTTTGTATCTTTGAAATAACCGATACTATGCGGTATTGCCATTTTCGGACACCATGCATTCTGGGTTTTACAAAGTTATTATCCAAGGTATTGTTTTTAAAAAGGAATAGTCGAATTATAAAAAATCATTCAGTAGAAATAATTATTATAAATTCCCTGATTTATAGTCAATAGCTAGTTTTTATTAGGGATATTATTTTTTAGACATATACTACTGGGACACAAGTAATTAGGACCATAACTTCTCCAAAAATTGTGACAAGTAAGTTTTCAGAAAGTTATTATTGTAGAACCCAACAAATCTAATGCATATAGTTCTGCAGATCTGAGGGGTGTTTCTTTAAATTTTACACAACCAATCAGAGCACTCAATTGCCTGTTGCAATCAAGTGTGTGACAGGGAATCCAGTGCTATGATTGGTAAACTACTTTCAATAGAAACCATTTTCTATAGAATTTCCAAAAAAACACCCCTACACAAAATTAAGAAGTACAGTTGTATTCATTAAAAAAGCGTACAAGAATTAGAATGAGAGAAAACTGTCAACATTATTGCGTAAAACCGGCTTTCCACTGACTTAAGTCACTATAACTGACAGTAGAAAATAAAAATGCCTCGTCAGTTAAAAAGGCTCAAATAGTATCAAGAATCGAAGAAGAATGATAAATTCGTACTGTGGTATAATAGAAATAAAAAATCTATATTAAAAATGAAGCAACGCTGGGAACAGGAAGATTTACTAAACCAAAAAGTTGGTTCAGGTCGTCCCAAAATGTCCACCCCTGAACAGTATGCTGCTTTTTTAGGATATCTGAGGATTTATGGAAAACTATACAACTATACTATACCTACTATACTGCTGGGAAGATATTAATCCAAATATTGTATTAAATTTAATTCAGTTCATCCCAAATAGATTGGCTCAAGTAATAGAAAAACGGATGCATGACTAAATATTAAATTTTTTTTAATGTTTGTTTTTTTTCATTCCTAAAAGGTAATAATTTTTGTAATATTATTTAATTAACCTACGACGTCAATGTTCTTTATAACCTATAGTAATTATTTTAATGACTTATGTCAGTGATAAGCCAGTTTTAAGCAATAATATTATTTTGACAGTTTTCTCTCATTCTAATTCTTGTACGCTTTTTTATTGAATACAACTGTACTTAAAGTTAATTTTTTTTATCTGGACTGCGGCAACGTTGCAAATTTAGGGTTTTGGTTGGTAAATGCAGTTGTCAAGTTGGTCGCATTGATTAAAACAAACTAAGCTAGTTATAAATCGAATTGTGGTTATGTATAAATTATTGTAAGTTACATTGTGCAGTTGTCAAGTTGAGTTGTCGAAGTTCGTAGTTAAAAATGCAATTAATTTGGCTTTGGTGCTGCTTGGATGACTAAAATCGTATAAAAAAGTAGTTAAATATAGGTTGCTTTACGGCCCAGAAGAGAAAGTATTCCTAGCGGATAATAATCTTCGCTTTGAAAAGAATTTATATAAAAGAAATTAAAATTTTTTGTGAACGTAAATGTTGTCCAATGGTGGATAATGTGAAAATAATGTGTGATGTAATATTTATAAAACCAAATTCGTTACTTTTTCTTCCATTGTGGCATTTGGCATAATTTCATCAAAATGAAGTTTTGCCCTTAAAAGGGCTTTTACATTCGAATTCGTTGCTATTATTTTTGGCAAAATTATCTTTTTACTTAATAATAATAATTAACAAGTAAATTATCAATAATAAATATTATTGTCAATTTGACAGTGTCAAAGTATTTAATTAAATTCGAGTCCAGATAAAAAAAATGAACTGTAAAAGATATACTAATACCTATTTATATTTCATATATTGTAATATATAGTTTATCTTAGTTTTTACGAAAAATTGATTAGGGCAATGGTTTTTCTATAAAGTAATTTTTTAAAACAATAAAGTAAAATTTTATCTTACTCTTAATTTTGCTAAGATTAGTACAACATATTGTTTATAAATATTTTATGCTTAATCTAGCTTAAAATCATATTCTATTGGCTGATACATTAACCATTTTTTATTTCATACTGTACCTATAGAAAATAATTGTTTTGAGGTGTAAGCAACCAATATTTACAAAATAAAATTTTTACACAAAACATAATATAATACCTTTAATATAAATGCAATGAAATGATTTAGCTTGTTCTTCTGACATTATGTTACATTTGTTTTAAAAATAAATTTTTAAATTCCTATATAATTTTTGACACTGATAATAAATCAATTTTTAAAATTCAGTTTGAAATAAAATGTTAAACAATACTTGGCTGTGAAGTGTTGTAACAGTTGTCTGTTTCTAACACTCACTTATTAAATTTTATTATATATTTTTTTAGAGTTCTCCAGTTAATAACAATAGCTTAATATTATTTACATTTTTAAAGTTAATTTTACCTAATTTACTTTTTAGAGACTGTTCCAATTCATGTTAATAGTGGTAGCATTCCCAAAGGTACAAAAACTATTAGATTAACGCCCACACAAATGGTAAATAAAATACACTTTGACAAGAAATAAAACTAAACATTTTATTTTTAGCAAAACTTTAAATTTCTCAATGCAACTAATCAAAAAATCCAAATCAGTCCCACCGCCACATATCAGACTACACAGCCTTCACCTAATGTTAAAAATATTCCTCCTCCAATACTTTCAAGGAAAACCCAAAGGCAACAGGATCCTCTTGAATTAGATTATACTCCAGAAACAAAAAGGGGAAGGAAATCTGAAAAGGTCAGCAAAGGACTGAGACACTTTTCAATGAAAGTATGTGAAAAAGTCAAACAAAAGGGAACAACAACATACAATGAAGTAGCGGATGAACTGGTCACGGAATTCACAAATGCTACTAGCCAGTTTGCCGCAGAAGTAAGCTATTTAATAATTTGTTCTACCAAAACTTTAATTTTTCTAGAGTTGGGCGTTACTTTAATAAATGACCGTCATAATTTTTTCATAATTCAAAGAGGTTTTGTTATTACTAGAGAAGGCTGAGCACTTTTAAAAATGCTCGAAAACCGCTTAAAAGTTCTTGAGCTCAAGCATTTTAAGAAGTGCTCAATATTTAAATTTGGCGCCAAAACTAAAAAGCGGGATTATTATATAACCTTTAAATACATTATTTTTCTGAGATAATAAATTAGTTTTCCTCTTAGACCTAGGGTTACCAACAAAGCGTCTGCCCCAGAGATTTCCTTAACTTTAAATATACTTTTTGTCATCAATAAATTTTTCTGAAACACATCCTAGAAGTTAGAAAGTAAGATTGACAAAGTTTCAGCTTAATTGAATAAAGTTAATTCTTGCCTCATTGAAGCTAAAGTTTAAAAGAAGCGAAATTTCAATAAAAAATCTCAAAATTATTGAAAAAATAGTTAATTTCATTTTTATGTTACAGAACAACATTTGGTTTCTGTTTCTTATTTAAAGTATTTTTAGTATGACCAAAAAAATATAAGAAGACGAGTTTACGACGCTTTAAATGTTTTAATGGCTATGAATATAATCTCAAAAGAAAAAAAGGAAATTCGATGGATAGGCCTTCCAACAAACTCCCTGCAAGAATGCCAACAGCTGGAAAAAGAAGTCCAAAAGAAAGTAAGGAGCATTAAAGAAAAGGAGAAGCAGTTGAATGAGCTGATTTTAAACCAGATTGCCTTTAAAAATTTGGCTCAAAGAAATAAGGAGGCTGAAAAAATGCATGGGGTACCCCCACAAAACTCATTTATTCAATTGCCTTTTATTGTTGTCAATACAAATAAGAAGACTGTTATCAATTGTAGTATTTCTAATGATAAGTATGCATGTCCATTATTGATGATTTCATTAATAATTTTTTATTTATATTTTCAGAATGGAGTACCTGTTCCAGTTTAGTGATAAATTCGAAATTAATGATGATGTGGAAATATTAAAGTCAATTGGAATGCTAGCAGGTATGGCAATGTTAAAATTTCTGTTTTTATTTTAAAGCGCAAACACTTTTATTTTTAATTATTATTATACTATTTATAGTGGGTCAAACGACGCCAAATGTGACAATGAGTTTTTATTGTTTTTTTAATTGTAAAAATCTGCAGATAATAACTTAACAAGAAAAAGACTCATCATTTTTGAATTCCGAAAAAAAATTGTAACTCACGACTCGTTCACAATAATCTGATGAATGTTTTTTACAGTTTTTAAATGTTTTCTGGTAAAGATGAATAAATTCGAAAAATATTATTTACAAAAAAACGTTTTTTATGCCTAACAATTATTTAAATAGTTTTAATTATTTATAACTTCGAGGCCTACCATTGCGGTGAAAATTTACACTGACAGTCGGTATTGCATCATTTGTTGCATAACTGACTGTCAGAGTAGGAATGATATTTTTTTCTTTTTGGAACACGTAAATAAAAAGGGAGATAGCATTTTATATAATTTTTCTTTGCATTGGAAGCCCAAGGAGGTATAAGTAATTAAAATTGTTTTAATAATTCTTATTTAAAACTAAGTTTTATTGCAAATATTATTTTTTAAATATATTTATTGTAAAGACAAATTTCATCTAAATATTGAGAACGAGTCGTGAGTTATCAATTTTTATTTAAATGTTGTAAAATTCTTAGTTTCTAAAAAGAATCAAAACGGTCCGGAATTTCGAAAAATGATTTAAAGTCAAATATGTTAAACAAAAAACAGTTTAAACTGTTATTTTACTCAGTAGTGATGTAGCAAATGTTGATTTTCACTAGAGAAGGATAAGCACTTTTAATAATGCTCAAACAACGCTCGAGCTTATACAGGACAGAATTCGTGAAATCAGCACGAAATATTTTTTATTCTCATAATTAAATTGCATGTTCCTAAATTATACAAATAAGCCTGCCAAGAACTTTTTTAAAAGGGTTCCATCACTTTTGCTTAAATAAAAGATAAAAAGATAATCAGTTATTAGTCTATATTATTATTAAATAAACTTTAAATAATTTTTTTTAAATTATGAAAAATTAATATTTAGTTATGTTTTGGTCGCTTAACTGAAAAAAAGACACATTGTACCCTTAAAAGTCGAATTAGGTGAAAAAAATATGAAGCCATTTATAGTTTAATTAAAATCATAAAAGCGGTCGTATTTTTTATCGCTCGGTGCGTGTTTTTACCTTAAGCCCGTATTACAGTCTGCAATTACTTGCAGCAACTTTCTTGCATGCAAGTTTTATTGCTGACTGTAAAACACTTTGCAATTTCAACCGAACTGGCAATAAAAATCGAGCAGGACCGATAATTTGAAAAATTCCAATAACACTATAGGTAAATTTTCAACTACTACAGCCAAACGCTCGGACACGTAAACATAATTTTTGGTCGTAGATTCCAAATCCGTGCTCGGTTTAGCTGTATCAGTTCTAAAAAGGTTTTTTCTGTCGGATATCCGATCCGGGGACACACTGTATACTGATATATTATAATTTGTAAATTAATATGTTTCACCTCTTATGCTTTTTATTTCAATTAATATAATATCCCCAATTATACTCAATGAAAAAAATTAGCAAAAAAAAACATTTTGAATTTCTTAAATTATCTTATTTTTAGGCCTGAATACTGGCGAATGTTTACCTGAAGATTTAGAAAAAATAAAAGGATTAGTACCTGAATCTCTTTGGCCATATGTAGACAGTAAGTATAAATTAAATAATAAGTATAAATTAAAATTAGTGCTACCAAATAATATTAAATGAAGAAATGTATCACTAAAAACAGGCGTATAATTTTTCTCCAACAAGGTTTTTGTTTTAACTAGGAATTTATTAAAATAAAAGGATATCAAACAATAGTTGACGTTAGGATGATTCAAAGTTTTAATTTTTTGGCAAGAAGTCAAAATCTTATGAAATGCCGTTTTAGCATTTATTAGATAATAGTTTAAAGTTTAGCACTAGCTACTAATGATGTTTTAACAGAAATTTTCAAAGATACATTTTTTAAACTCAAAACAATTGATGTAAAATGCAACTTTAAAACTGTAAGTTTACAAATATTGATTTTTAAAAATTGTAGTTATAATACGCTAAAGAAGCATCACGTGGCCGTTATCATCTTAACCAGAATTCAGCTTTAAATAAGCAGCTGTCAAACGAGTGTTTTTGAGAATAAAGCCGGAAAATGTTAAAAATATAGGAAAAAAACCGTGGCACGCTTTGTTGTGTTTGTACAACAATTATTTTTTGTTAGATTTCTTAAAAATGTCCAAACTTAATATAATATAATTTATATTAGGTAAAACACAATAATTTACCACTTAGATAAAATACACACACTAACGTAACTATATAAGCATATAAGCGTTGAATTTATTAATTATTGATATAAGGAATAATAAATCGAAAGTTTTTTAGTTTTTACTTGCAACGAAAAACACAAATAACGTGAATTGAACAAAAATTGTCGAGTAAGACTTCTGCCTTCCTTCCTTTTGTAAAAAAATGGTGTGCAGTTTGTATGCTTAAATGTATTGTTGACAATTTTGATAAAATTTTTAATAAAAAAATTTTTACATTACATTTAAATGACTCTTTACAAATTTAAACCAAATTTTAAAATCATGCGTTTTTAACACAAAATTTATAACTTTACATTGATATGTAAGTCGATAACTTTTAATTTGGAAAGTGTAAACGTAGCATTAGCAGATGGCATAGTAGGCCTTGTATTTTGTAAAAATATGGCGTTTTTTGTTTTAAAAATAGTTTATAAAGATCTACACTTTAAAACAAATCCGGTAAAAATCGCAATAAGTTATTAGTACAATATACAGTGTGACCCATTTGTTTGTTTATTAGTAATAACCCTTATTTTTTGTTTTTTGTTATAATAAGTTGCAAAACTCTTTTTGTCATTTTAAAAGCTCAATTCCTTCTTATTTGTGGGATTGTGATTTAAAAAATATATCATTTTTATAGTCCTATCTAGTAACACAATAAACAAAGTTAAACAACATAAAAAAACGTGAAACCGTTTTCTGCACATTGCCAAAAACTAGCAAAAAGTGCGTTTTGCTTCCACATGCCTCATTTTTAATAAAACCCTACTGAAATTTTAGTTTTATTTGGCAGTGCAAACGGTTTGGGAAACCGCTCAAAAAATTTTAAAAAAACTATTTATTTTTAATACATTTTTAACATGATAAGAATACGACCTTTCACAATATTTAAAATAAAACCCACTAAACATGATTTTGTAAAAAATAACCCTTGTTTATTTTTTTAGAATTGGCCAACAACAGTATTGAGAGTAGTTTGGATGAATTATTAAACACTGCTGGATCCAGTACCATGACATTCAATGTGGAAGATTTTGTAGAAGCTACGATGGATGACAGTTCACGGCAGTCTTCAAACTACGATCCATTATCACCAAGTGCAGCTGATTATTCTGAAGAAGAAATTGACTCAGATATTTCTAGTGACACAGAGCTTAATGGTTAAGACTGGAAGTTATTCTAATTTTGAATTTTATATTATCTGTCCATAAAACTATTGTTTTGACAACAAATTTACAATGACTTGAGTTTTAAAATTTAAAGTAGTTTTATATTTAACATATACAAGTTTTGATTTTTTTTTCATAGAAAACTATTATTATTTAATAAATCTATAAAACAATTTTTTTAATTCTTTAAAAAAAATTGCATATGCACTGATATTTAATATATATCTTAATTTTTTGTATATATTTGTTGAATATTACTGTTAATTTTGAAATGTGTAAAAAGTTTAAGCAAAAGCAAAATGTTTGCACAAAGGAAGTGATATAAAGTGCTTGACCCATTCAAAAATTTTGGTATTGGACCAATATTTTTAATATATTTGTATGTTTAAAGAATGGTTTCAAAACGGTTTGATTATTTTTTTTTGATCACATTTTTAGTTTGTTGTAAAAACTGTATATATTACTTTTTATATAAGCATAATAAGAATATTGTTTAGTTATTACCAAAGTTGTATTTTTTGCTAATAAAACAAATAATTACAATTATGTTACAGTTAGACTTAAATAATTATTAAATTTGATTTTTCATTTGTTACTATGTGCTGTAATTCAGCACTGTTAAATTTATGCCCATAAATGTACATTATAGAACCTGGTTTATGTTCAAAATGTAAAATACCAAGGTTAAATTAAAATAGATGCAGTAGAATAGTTTTTTATTATACCTACAGATTTTTAACTAAATTCTTGTAAACTAGTATTAGATTTAGTTATCTTTGCATACATGTGTACATTTTTGTACCTAATTCATAAAATAAAACATCTTGGATTGTAAATATAAAAATTACATTTTTTGGTACCTACAAACAGTATTTGGTAATTACAATGATTATGTTATTAATAAATTATAACAAAAATTATGTTTTTATTGCAAATCCTCGTCGTCATAGAGATCTTCAAATTCTAAAACAAAAAATATATTTAATACCTAATTATTTTTAATAGATTTATTCAAAAATTGGCTTAGGGTTATTATTAAAAAAATAATTTGTTTTTTTATTCCACACCTGTATACTTTTGGGCTTCAATAGAAAATATAATTATATATATATGTATATATAAATGTATTAATAGAAATGCACTCTATTTAAGTTTGACACTTAATTTTGGGGAGACACGACATTCGATAAATACCCGACGAAAATACACCCTCGACAAAATAACCGTCAAATTCAAAGTGTATTTTAAAATTAATATAGTTTTTAGTTAAAATGTATGATAATGACAATTTATTTAAATTTTTAAATTACAATGAAAAATGTATTGTATATACAGGGTGTGCGGTTTAAGACCGCAAAACCCCATTATTTTGGAACGCATTGAACAATATATCTTTTGGGGGAAATTTTCATTTTTTTAAGACCTTAATTGTATTTTAGAGAAAAATCATTAGGCAATTTTTTTGAAAAAATGGATAGCCCATTCGATTCTATGATTTAGATGTAGGTACCTCAAATACATTGACCTTAATTGTATTTTAGAGAAAAACCATTAGGCAATTTTTTTTTGAAAAAATGGATAGCCCATTCGATTCTATGATTTAGATGTACCTACCTCAAATACATTGAGCTCAATAAATTTGAGTCAAGTTTTTGAATATGAAAATATGTTTTTTCAGAATTAATTTTTTTCAATTTCGGAGGTTTCGTCCCTAAACCTCGCCGTTAGATATCTGACATGGCTTTAAGTCGAATTAATACTTTTATGTACGCATGATGGAAAAAGTGAGACCCATCTGAACCAAATGAGCTATCCATTTTTAAAAAAAAAAAATTGCCCAATGGTCGTTTTTTAAATTTTGACCCATTTAGCAGGTCTTAAATTTTTTTTTTCACATCATGATTTCTTATTCACAACTTTTTCATAACAACAATAATATTGTATACCTATAATAATGATTGGATTGAAATAAGAAAAATATTTAAATAAACCTCTGTACCGAAATTCTGAGATTTTAAAATTACCAAAAAAAATATTAAAACAATTGAAAATTAAATATATATTTCAGTAAGAAAGTATTTTAGGGCAGACGTATTTGTATAAATTTTTTTCCTAGAATATTGTAAGGATTAGTTAGGGACTTAACTTAGGAAAACACCCTGTTTATGTCAGGATCAGGGGCTAATCCAGGATTTTAAAAAGCCCCCTTCTCAAAATCCTATTTACCACCATCCACAAAAGTATCGGCACTATTTTCAGATTTGAATGTTGGTTTTTCCAATTCCAAAAGGGGTGTGGACCCAAACTTGGTCAGGATTTAAGTACCATATTTCGCTTTTTTCTATAATACTATACTATACCTACTTAATTGCACGTGTTTGATTTATTAATTTATTTATTAAATTGACTTACAAGTAGCAAAAAGAGGATATTAAACACAGCAAGTGTTTTCTTAGTTTGTTGGTCTACTTTCATTTAGAATTGGGCCTATTTGAATTGAAAGTGATGACCAAAAAACTGTTGCACTGTGTAGTGTTAAAGCAAACCATCTAAATTTTGATAAATTTGATATTTTTTTCTAAGTGTAATAAAATGTTTAAATTGTGCCACCGAAAACAAAAGTAGAATTTAATTTATTTAAACATTGTTTTACTAGTAACACAATGTTAATAGAGTTCTACTACTGGTATTAAATTATAGGTACTATCTGAAATGGTAAAATGTAAAATCCAAATAAATTATATTTTGTTATTACTACTTAATCAAATACAGGGATTAACATATTAATCCAAGGATATGTAAAAAAATACATTTTTAAGGGAAACCAACATACAAATTCCTTAAAAAAGACGAGTCACCCAAACAAATATAACAGCTCCATATCCTTATACAATAATGTAATAGGTTGATACATATTACAAATTATAGTTACCATTAAAAAAATCTCCATGTACAGCTTTTTCGTTAGCTGTTAAATCCATTAATAAACCAGTTGACCCTCCAGCCTAAAAGTTGTAAAATTTTGTTTGAGGTTATATATATATATATATATATTTGTGTGAGTTTATTCTTACTACTTCTTCCAGATCCATATAAGGACCAGCTCCTTCAGGAAACATCTCATCAGCAACAATAGCAGGCTTCATATTTATAAATAAACTTGAATTTATTTAAAATTTGACAAATAAACCCTACTTTTGGTCTCGGAAGCAGTGATGCCAGATTATGATCATCATAATATGATGGGAATTTTGACAACAATTTAACAATTTATATTGTTATACAAATATTGTTCTTAATAATTATTTATGTGGTTTTTAATGATACTTTAATTTGTAATAAGATTTGTAGACGAAATTAAAACCTTTTATCTATTTAATAGATTCTATTACCAGTGGTAATGGCGGGTTTACGAGTCACTCGCGTGCGTTTGAGGTTTGCGTGCGTTTCCTGGGCCTTCGCGTCAACGCGTTCTTCCTGACGCGACCCCATTTACGAGTTTCGAAGGCGCGCGTTTACTCACCCACTGAACATTATGGATGTGGTGATGTCACAGTGACGTTTAAAAATTGTCAATTTTAAGGCACATTAACTACGTTTTTTAGTGATGTTCAATTTACGTAAAAATTACGCTAAAAAATAAAAGGTGCTGTCGAGCACGTCACTACACCGTCCAGTCTATGCCTTTTATTTTACTTTAGGGTATTAGGTGCAAAACACAACGTACATTTTACGTCACCAATGTGACACATGATAAATATGAATGGGATAGGTTTGCCAATGATAAACATTAAAATATATGCCACATTTACATTTTTGTTGGAAATTTGAGTGTATACTTAGATAATTAAATACCAAATTTAATTCATAATTTTAGATTAAACCAAACCAATGTAAGTACCCAAGCAACACAGAATGGTATATTAAACGTTTAAAACGATCTACTACCATCCGTCACTTCGTTGTATATGTGAAACGTATTATAAACTGCAAAATGTCCGCGACTTCAACGTATATATACAGATTTCTATATCCATTTCATTAACGTATATACATATATGATTTTTTTTATGAAGTGGTAAACGTATATTAGCAGTTTACATTTACAGGTTTTATACGTATACCAAATACGTGTATTAAATGTTATTTTTCCTTATTCATTTATACGTATAATGAAAGGGTTATTTTTCTTTACAGGATGTTTCGTAACCGTTTAGACAAAAAAACAAGGTAAATTCTCACTTAATTTTATTCGAAAAATACATTAAGTGAGAATTCACCTCCTTCTTTTTGTCAGAGAGGTTAGGAAACACCCTGTATAAACTATAAAATGTATTAGTCCTTAAGTGACCTAAAATAATTAAAAAGTTTGTTCTTACTGCACGGTACTGAAATAATAACTCGTATACAAAAAATCAAAACATATATTCTTTAAATAAACAAATTTGTTGCACAAATGTGACAAGGAAACAAAGTTATAACTTATAATAAAAATAACGTATTTACGGGTTTTACATCTCTGTTATACAGATGCCGGTGTTTGCTTAATTTCAGCCAGTCTTTTATCGCTTGGGATATTACAAAATCGTTCAAATCAAGAGGTTCTCTTGCTGAATATGAAAGTTTTACAGCTTCTAAAAAATGGAAAAAGAATATATTTAATAGGTAAATAATTAGTAGGTATATATGTATGTAGTACTTGCTATAATAACTTTTGTATACAAAAGAAAGTATACTTTATACATATTATATAGTATATATACTTTTTTTTGTTAAAAATTTAAAATTAACACAATTAATTATTTAAAAGTTTATTACAAAGACGTTTAAAAAAGTAAACTTTTTAAAATATTTTTGTAAATTTACCTTAACAAGGAGATGAACAAAATTATGTCTAGACTTAATAAAATTTTCAATTTCGATATGACATATTACGAAAAAATATTAGTTTACATTGTAAACTAATATTTGTTTGTAATTTAATTTTGAAATGGGGTAAATATTTAAAACATAAATTATATTATCTACGCCTCCAAATGAAAAAATAAACGGTAATTATTTTTGTCTAAGACTTAATTTAGGGTTATTTTGACATTTTGACTTTTTTATTTGATTGGTTAAAAGCAGAGAAAAACGCGTGCGTTAATGAACTTCTTATCTCACTCAAAATGAGTGGGATAAGAAGTTCTTATTTCACTGGCGTAGATAATAGTTATTTACGATATAAGTGGGATAATAAAGCGTTATAACACGTATATTGTACAAATTTTTATCTACGCCTCTAAATGAAAAAATAAACGGTAATTATTTTTGTCTAAGACTTAATTTAAGGTTATTTTGACATTTTGACTTTTTTATTTGATTGGTTAAAAGCAGAGAAAAACGCGTGCGTTAATGAACTTCTTATCTCACTCAAAATGAGTGGGATAAGAAGTTCTTATCTCACTGGCGTAGATAAATTAAATTAAGATTCTAAATTTTAGAACAATAAAATTTATACGGTAAAAAATAATAATTAATTATAATTTTTTTTACTATAACATATTTTTATTGTTTTAAAATTTAAATATTATAATTATTTTTAATATTCTAAAACTTAATATTTTTTATTTTAAAAATAAATAAATAAAAAAGATAAAAGTTTTATGGTCTGGCACTTTCAAAACATTATCTTAATTTAAAAAAAAATAAAAAAACAGTTTTTCTATTTTCCGGCACCCAAATTTTTCGGAAATTTTGAATCTCTAGTATATAAAACTAAAATTTCCTGCATCAGGTCACACAGGCAGTATGTAAACGGTATACAGTATACAGTATATATACGTATACGAAACCTTTACTTGACACTAAAAAAATCTTTTAATTTATTTGACTTGACAAATTTTAACATATAAAGATAAAAATACCTACATAAATGCACTCATGTGAAGTTAAACAAACGATAAATTAAAAATTTACCCTGAACTCCTTTTCCAAAAGATAAAAATAACTAACCCTCAAAATTGTTATCCACGTGTAGTAAGATACTTGCCTTCTTTTTTCTTCTGTAATCGAATAAAACCATGTATAAAAACAACAATTGAATACAGCAAATCTTTTTTAAATTATTTAGGCACACTTACCTAGGTAATTATAATTACTTAGCAATGCCTGGAGCCCGGCGTTTTCACTTCACAACAGGCTTTTCTTACAAGATGACGCCACGGGCGGAACCTGTAGCTGTTTGGGTTAAGACGCGACGTCATTGGGTAAATTTAATCATGTGACAAAATTTTGCAGTGTTCAATATAGGTTTTGTACACGTATACTATATACCGTTTATATACCAGATTGTGTAGTGTGGAAAATAGGTATACTGTATACCATTTAAGTACAAAATTTAAACGCGTGTTATATACGTTTTTCAAATTTAGTTTTTTTTAATAATTTCTTAATTACAGCTCAAATTTATGCGATAGGTATTCACAAAAAAAGTTTTGTAAGGGCCTATCATACTTTTCGAGTCAGAACCATTAAAAAATTAGGCTTTTATTTGACTTCGTGTCAAAAATGGATTATTATATACATATAATATATGTTTCTAATATACGTTAAAAAAAGTAATATATTTTTTGCTTTAATATACGTATATGTTACGATAAATTCATCAGTTAACTGAAGATAAAGTCCTATAATATCCGTATATTATACGTTTCGTATAAAAAAGTAATATGAAAAACGTATATTATTTATACCTTTAAAATGTTATACGCTTTTTATACGAACAATACGTTTAATAAACGTATATACTACAGAGCCGTGTTGCTTGGGTAGGTACAATTATTATTGACTTATTATAAATCCCAGAGTGATTTATTAATTAATATTACCGCTTATAAAATAATAATTATTCTATTATTATCGCATAGTGAGATTAAGAAACGTATATTTTATGTAAAATTTACGTAAATGAGGACTCGGGTAATTTCGTTTCCAGTCGATATATCGGTATAAAAGGGGCCCTGTAACAGGCATACTCTGTTTGCGTTGCGACTGCCATTGTTCTGTGTTCAACACAGTGTGTTGCTATTTGTTGCTGTGTGATAGAAAACGCATTGTTCTCCATAGGCGAGACTGAACGGTTTAGGTAAGTTGGCTTTATCATTTGTTTGAAACCATACAGTTATAATTATAATATAATATAATTAATTAATTGTCCCAATATCGCCATGATGGCGCTATTAGTGGTTATCGAATTTTGTTGATTTAAATGTTAGCGTTGAGTGAGAAGTAATATTAATCAATGCTGTTAGACTTAAAGAAAAGTCTTTTAATCAATTTGATTTTTTAGTTAATACACCAGTGAACATAGGAGACAAATTTTGCGCCGAGCGACAGGCAAGTTAACTTAATATAATATAATTATATAAGTTTTATATACTTAATTACTTAGATAACTTAAGTTTGTTTGTTTTAGAAGCCAGTATGAAATTATTTCGTCTGACTGAAAGTGATTTCGATAAAGAGAGCAAGGAGTTGTTCCAAACCGCCAAGCAACGCTCATAACGTTTTTTTGGCCAAATTTGGACATGAGAATGAGGCCGAAAATTAATTAGGCGGTATGTTTTATTTTTATTATTTTTACCAGACTTATTATGTTTTATTTTTATAATTTATTTTAATAATAAAAAAATATTTCCAAAGTGGTAGTTTTATTTAAAAAAACGTAACTAATAAGTACAAGTGGAAACAAAACCTATACGTCCATAATAAAATGGCATTTTTACGTCCTTTTAAAAACGTAATTTTTACGTCTCCTTATCCACGTAACGGTTAGGGCTAATTCACGGCCCAGGATCCGGACATAGGCACATCACAGCGACGTTTATATGACGTTTATTTTACAAGATTCTTATACGTCACACTACAACCTTTGACGTCAATTTTACATATATTTTACGTTTTTTTGCTCAGTGGGCACCTTCGAACGTCAGCTGGTTCCTCAGTGCGTGTGTTTTGATTTCGTCTCGTGTCTCATACTTTGGGAAAATGGACCCATTTTTAATTCTTCGAACCGCAATATTAATGAATTTAGCTCGTCTGCTAATAGAGTAATTGCATCAAAAATGAAAATCCCTAAAAACCTTTTTATTGTAATCTAGAGGTAAAAACACATTGCGAAAATATTTTTTTATATTCCAAAAGTTCAACCCGGCCCCAAAATATCAAATTGAAAAA